CCGTGGCATTTTCGTTGCCTGCGGAGGCCAGATTGCGTTATATATAGAGAATATAAATATTAGGCTACAAGAAGGCTGAAAAATAACAGACAAACAGAATGTGATAGATTATTTGTCGATTTAATGGTTTTGTTAGAAATTATATAACGAAAAATANACATTGCACACCTGGTGCCGCATAATGATTGCTTGATGCATGAAACGGTTGCTAAGCAACGTAAAAGCAGTGAACATTTAGCGCTTGCGTATATCAGGTTNAATATATAGTTTGAAACATGAAACTGCAAGAGATTTGTATAAAGTGGTTTCCAGTTACGTTACACATAGGCCTACGTAGGCCTGCAAGTCTGCTTAAGTTAAGACAACCAAGAAAAGAGCTAGAATAGCCAGTCTATATAGTGACCATGGCACAGACTGTATGACTGAAGAATCGGGGAATGCTGCAAGTACCACGCAATATATAGTAAAGAAGTAAGTAAGTAAAGCTATCCCTGTACCAGACCTTGAAGTCCCATAAGGTTGTGAGACGTTGAGGCTCCCACATTATCTAGACAATCGGCTCAAAAATGGCGGTAAATTTGTTAACCTTAATCGCCGGCCGCGCTTTACTGCCCTGGAAAATTATTACCCAATATATAGATACAGGAAGTGTACTTTCTGGATTTCTACAACTTAATTTTTGTTTTCTACGGTGAATACTAGGCTAAATTGCCCACAAAATTAACGGAGCCTTTAAATAATTGGACACTAAAATGAAAGGCGATTGAAAAACACAGATGACAATTGATGTAACAGAAGTGTCATATGGATCTAACGCAAAAAAAAAAAGTTTCTTTAGAATATCTTCATGCCTTAGAAGATAGGACTACAAACGTAGGACCAATATGAACTTTCATCTGGATCCTAAAGTAGAATCCTTCCTACAGTTAGTTAATTGCAGTAAATTAATATGGATATGTTAACGTTCGCAAAATAAAAATATAAAAAAAAAGAATGTTGTGAAATATATGCGATATTCCTGCTCTAAGTGAAAGCTCTTTTCGGTCCTTTGGTAAAATGTCACCTTAATAAAACAACTAAATCAAAACATGACTGCCAAATAAAAGTCAGTGTACGTCTCCGAAGCCGAATTTGATCCAGATCAGTTCCAAATCAGGGGCAATTAGGTGCACCGGGTAGCGTAGTTGGTTGAGGCACTATGCTACAAGCCCGAAGGTCGAGGGCTCGAATCCCGACGAGGTGTATTTTTTCAATTTATCTAGACCTTCCAGACGCACTATGGCGTCGACTCGGGCTCTGACAGAAATGAGTACCAGGAATCTTCCTAGGGTGTAAAGGGTGGCAGGCGCGTAAGGCTAACAACCTCACCGTCATCTGTGAACCTATTGTCTAGAAAATCTGGGAGCCTTGACCTCCCACAACCCTATGGGCCTCTATGGCCCGTTACAGGGATAGCCTTACTTTTACCTAACTGTACATCCAAGATGCGTCACCAATGATCTGATTTCGTAAAAAGGAACCTGAATATGAACTCTCTAAATATGACACTAAATGCTCGTGCTGTTTGTCCAATGTATTTCAGTGGACAATCTAGGAGATTCATTTGGTAAATGCCACTTCTGCTATACTTCTCTGTTTGTGCACAAGGCTTTAATATGTTGTGTACTGTGTTCTGAAGGCTACTTTTATTATCGTTTTCTGAGAAAGTTTAGCAAATCTTCTCACTTCTTTGCCGCTGTATGTGAAGGTAACGCATCTTTTGTGCTGCTGATCAATGTGTGTTTTATTTTTGTGGGGGAGGTGGTTTTCTAATTAAGTTTGTGTTATACTCGTTATTGTGTATTATGTTTTTGAAGGTGTTCCTTTCTGTGTCTTTGCTTTTTCAGTTATTGGTTACGTGTGTAGTCGATTTAGTGAGTGAGAAGCAAAGGTGACAATAATAAGTTGCATTGTAGACGGAAATATATTGTATGAAATAAATAACATATTAATGCAAGACGATGCTTAAATACAACATTTTGAAAAATGTATTACGTTGAATTTTTATTCTTTATGCCTATGGCCTTCAATTACACGTACTTTGAATCCGTTTTTACGATTCTGGACTCATTAAGTTTGCATAATTTAATAATTTCCTTTTTTGTAATAGCTAAGTAAGAATAAATCTGTACTGGAACTGAATGTTTATATTTCGGTTTTATTGAGCAATATTCGAAAATCTGCTCTATACCGCGTAGACATGACTCGAATGTAAATGATCTGCCAAGAAAGGGGATACACTCTTTTAGCTGTTAAAACTTCAACGTAATCTGTGACATAGTTATGCCTATAGACCCCTTTATAACGTCATGTTATTTTGAGACACGTCTGAAACCATGAGTTTAATTTTGATCGTAAACTTTCATGATGTTTTTCATCTTGACATCATCAGCACTTTCCCATGCTTTTTCGTTTCATGATGTAAATTTCCCAGTTTTATAGAGACGTCCAAATCGCTTCCATTGTTTTCATTTTATAGAAATTAAGTTATAAATATTAGGATAATTTTAACTGGAGGAATTTAGTCTTAGGTATAAGAGTTTTCAAGTATTGTGTAAAGTATGACAGTCTAGTTGTAAAACTCTTACACTCTTACAAGCAATTAACTTCGTGGAGCTGAGCTCTTCTTCAGAAGCTTCTAATTGTGTAGCTACTCAAGAACTTACCAGCAATTTATGTAACCCGAAAATTCATTACCGTATTCACAAGAGCTCTCCACTTGTCTCTATCCTGAGGAGATCGGTCCAGCCCGTACCATCTGATCCTATTTGAGATACATTTTAATGTTGTTCACCCAACTAAGTCTTGGCACTNTGTCTCTATCCCGAGGAGATCGGTCCAGTCCGTACCATCTGATCCTATTTGAGATACATTTTAATATTGTCCACCCACCTAAGTCACTCCTGGTGATCTCTTTCCTTGTGACTTTCTCACCAATATCCTATATGTATTCCTCTTCTCTCCATTCGTGCTGCCTGCCCTGCCCATCTCATCCTCCTTTACTTCATCATTCTGAATTTTACTTGGAGAAGAGTACAAGTTATGAAGCTCTATATGATGCAGTTTTCTCGAACCTCCTGTTACTTAATTTCACTTCGGTCCAAATATTCTCCTCAACACCCTGTTCTGAAACACCCTCGGTCCATGTTCCTCCCTTAATGTCAGAGACCAAATTACACACCCATAGACAGCAGACGAGAAGAGAGAGGATTATGGACTGAATGGTAACAAGCATTGCACGAATTCAATCTCATCTTAATTTCTTTAAGAATAAGTTTTTCATTTGTTACTGTCATTCCCAAACATTTGAAGTGTGCCACATTTTCAAAGGATCTGTTAGCTTCCTTTATGCCATGATTTTGCCCTGCCTTCTTGTGACGATGGAGTAACATGTACTCCTTACTTGCGTCAGTTAGAGTTTCTATGTTTTTCTTTATTTATCACCCAGTACATTCATATCATCAGCATAGACTAACAGCTGGTGTGGCCCATCTAATTTAGTCCCACCTGGTTTTCCTTGATCTCCCTAATGGCACATTCTAAAGCAAAGTTGAAAAACAGAGGCGATAAAACATCTTATTTTAGACGATTCGGGATAGGAAAAATATTAGACAAATATTTACCTATAAGAACTTTAATACACGTTTCGTTTAAACACATTTTAATCAAGACTAACTCTATGAGAATATTGTACAATACTTCCTTTCTAACTGAAACATGATCTTTCTAGAAATCTACAAATAGCTGATGTACTGTCTCATTGTACTCCAATTTTCTCTCCTGTATCTGATGAATGCAAAATATCTGGTCAGTAGTTGATCTGTTACGTTAAAACCCACACTGATAATCCCTAATTATTTCATCTGTCTATGTACTTAACCTTAAGAGAAGACTATTGGATAAAGTTTTGTATGAAGCTGATAGCAGTGATATCCCCCGATAATTACCACAATGTTTATCGCCCTTCTTATGGATCAGGCAATTCTTCCTTATTCCACACAAAACCGATGAACTTATGGATCTCAGACCGTAATATTTCGTCTGCTGCTTGAATAAGTTCAGCCGGAATTTGACCACTACCTGGATATGTATGCCTGTTGAACTCTGCAATAGCAGTTTAAACATTAACAGAAGTAGGATCAGATACTAACAGCTCGGCCCTATGTGTTTCTATCTGCCTAGCGTCACTGGTCCTATATATATATTTTCAATAACTGACAGAAATAGTTCTTTTACCTATTCAAAATGTTGTGGGAATCTGCAAGCCGATCACCATTTTCATTCTTCACTAAGTTACTTCCAGGTGCTATACTCGAATAAGTATAGATGATTTGCAAACCAGTGATATGTAAGGGCACACTGGAAAGGCTTCATGAAGCCGATATAAGAGTGAAAACTTGCTGATGATATCAAGTTGAAATAAAACATAGTGATGTATCGAAGTTAATGAATATATCCATGTCCATGGTTTATGCTGACCGTCTTACAGTGTATACACTTTTTCACCTTATTCTTCACTTCCACGCTACATGTTTCAGCACTAATATGCCATCATCAGGTGTCTTTACGCACGTTAAACTATTGTACTGCATGCCATATATATGACGAATACATATTTTAGTCATTTTAGAATGAAGACATCATGGCATGCAGTATAATAGTTTAACGTGCATAAAGACACCTGAGGATGGCACATTAGTGCTGAAACATGTAGCGTGGAAGTGAAGAATAAGGTGAAAAAGTGTATACACTGTAAGACGGTTAGCATAAACCATGGACATGAATCAGTGTAACAGGACGCTAAAATATAACAGAATATATCCATTTTGGAATATCAGGTTAGATAGCGAGTCTTATGTATTTTCAGTTTGTTTTTAATTTCACTTCTGCGACTTCTGAACTTACTTACAAACAACAAATCCCTCTTAAAAATTTCGTGCAATGTTAAAGAGAGTTAAGACATTCTTTGCTCTTCGATTGTAAGTATTTAGCTTCGTAAGAAATTATACCTAGAAAACATGAGACAAACGCCCATAAGCGACATGAGCCATCGTAATTTTTAATGTGACTCATATATTTAGGTGCCGCCGGGAATGCTAAATCTACATAGCAAGAAGGAGTTATGTACGTGTATATGTCTTGCACAATTATCGCATGTGCCCCTGGTGAAAAGACTAGTAATATAGGCCTAACATATAACCCTACCATTCTGTAATATCAGTCTGACCTGTGTCAATATGTAGTATATTGTAACAGGGAGGTGCAAAACCTCTCAGTCAGCTTTGGATTTATATTGTGGGAGTAGAACAGTTGGAAAACTAACATCGAATGGAATTGCATTGCACAAATTTGCTTCCATTCTTTAATGCATACTGGTTATTTAAATCCACAATCTTAAACCTACATATTTACATCTATGAAACACGTATATATAAGCAAGGCTGCGTGTTATCTTGAGCTGAACCTGCGACTTTTTACTGAGTACTTTGCATTTAAAATTCACCAACATATTAGTTAATGGTCTGTTGCTGATGGTGACATCTCTTGGCTGTTCTCGTTACTCAGAGGTGCAATTGTGACGTCACTGTTGCTGTGAGCACTTGTGGGCGAGTTACTTCCACTGCTAACACCACCAAGATTTGAAATATTTGCACTACCAACACTACCACAAGGTCCGCCATTAGTAATAGGCTCTGTAGGTATTAAACCTTCTTTCATTCGTTTCTTCTGTTTCATTCGACGATTCTGAAACCAGATTTTTACTTGTGTTTCGTTTAATTGTAAAGCAGAAGCTATCTCGATTCTTCTTGCCCTTGTCAGGTACTTGTTGAAATGGAATTCTTTCTCAAGCTCTGTCAGTTGCTTATTCGTGAAGTTTGTTCTGCCAGTGTTGTTGAGGCTGTTGGGACCCCCCAGTACTCCTCCGAGGGCCCCGGTTCCCATGAGACCTCCGCCACCGACGTTACAACCTCCAAGGCCTACCCCCGGGCCGGCGACCAGGCCACTTCCGTACCCACTGCTTGTGCAACTCACGGTGTTGTAGTCACCGAGCGAAGGCGCCGATTTTGGTGCTGCAAAAAGCCAAAAATCAGTATTAAATTAGTCACTTATAAATATTGGCTTAAAATCACACGCGAATTAAAAGAAATTATAACATTATTATAGATAACAGGAGCAGAAGCAATAGCAACAATCTTTTATCTGTCTGCCTCCTTTCTGAAATCCTCAAGATTAAATATGCAAAAGTGCAATTTTATCTATTCTGATATACATATGAATCTCGAATTATCATATCAAGGACTGAACATAGTGCTGAGGAGAATATTTGGGCACAATAAACACGAAGGAATAGCACAATGGAGAAAATTGTACAATGAGGAGTTTTCATAATTGTTACTGTCTACTGAGCATTCGGATGGCCAAACCTAGGTTTCATTTTATTTTTCTCCTATGGTGAGACTGAGTCCACTTGCTACGTCGGTCACTGTTTTTCCTATTGTACCAGCCCAAGATGATAGACGATAGAGGATGATGATGATGATTCTGGAACAATCGGCGGAATGCGAATTGACAGGGAAAACCGAAGTACTCGGAGAAAATTTGCGCCAGTGCCACTTTGTCCACCACATATCCCATATGACGGGACCCGGGCTCGATCCTGGGCCGCCGCCGTAGGAAACCAGCGACTAACAACCTGAGCTATGGCACGGCCTTAATTTAGGTATACAAACATAAGTTTGGAGGGACATGTAGTACGCATGGGGGGATAGACATAAACTGCTGCAAGGTTTAAGTTGGAAATCGTAAACGTAAGCGATTACTTGTGAGCCGAAGACATGGGCATGAGGCAAATGTAAAGATGGAACACAAATAAATGGGGTGGGAAAGTAAAGGCTGGATTCATCTGTATTAAAGTACGGGCCAGTAGTGGGCTCCTCCGAACAGTGTAATGATCCTTCGGTTATGCAAGAAGGAATCTTCTCAAGGAAATCGAAAAACAACAATAATAATATTCAGTAAGATTTCATACACTCTTTGTAGATTTTACATGAGTTTTCTCCAAACTAAACATTAAATTCCTAGCTCCGACATTTAATTAGTTCTCACCATCAAACCGATAGCTAAACATGTACTAATTTCATGCCGATGTCAAACCGCTGTTTTTGTTTACTGCAAAAAATAGCGTCTTTCTAAGATCTGTACCACACATCTTTCCACGACTCCGTATTAAATGGGGATAGTGTTGCCCCCACCTCATGAATTCGTGCGTCCGCCTTGTAATTATATAATGCAGGAAATTAAAGATGACGACGTTTGGGTGGCGTCTAATGTCCTAAGGTTCTCTGAGCTTTACAAATGCTTCCAGCGCTCAAACTTCCAAGTGATTTTGTATAACAATCACATTTCTTCATTGTTGTGTTTACTAAGAATAACCGTACCAGTGGCAACACAACTTGGACTCCTCCCCAAGTACAATTAGAATGATCAAGTCAAGAGGGTGAGGTGGGCAGGGCATGTAGCACAACTGGGGGAGAAGAGGAATGCCTGTAGGATATTAGTGGGAAAGCCGGAAGAAAGAGACCCCTGGGAAGACCAAGGCGTAGATGAGTGTACAATGTTAAAGTGGATCTTAGAGAATTAGGATGGGATGGTATGGACTGGATTAATCTGGCTCAAGATAGGGACCCGTAGAGGGCTCTTTTGAACACGGCAATGAACCTGTGGGTTCCATAAAATGTTGAGAAATTCTTGAGTAACTGCACAGCTGGCGATTTCTCAAGAAGGGCTCAGATCCGTGAGTGAGTGAGTGAGTGAGTTGTAACATTACAAATATGCTGCAACTTAAATCCTACTCTTCCCCTTGAATAGCTGCACAATTGGCGACTTCTCAGATCCATAAGCGAGTGAGTGAGTGAGTGAGTAAGTGGTAACATTACAAATATGCTGCAACTTAAATTCTACTCTTCCCTGCCATTTATGATAGAGCATCCATTGTCATGCATTCTATAATTGTGGTCGTGGGTTCGCCTCGCCAGCACTGCAGTACTTACTGACCAGCGGGTGGGAAACCCTATTTGTATAAAGTTTAATGACGTATCCATTTCCTTTATTTGACGACTACTTCTTCAGGGGAGTTCCCTTAATGCGAAGTTGGACAGTTTTCTCAGGCCTAATTCAACACGGTAGCTGCTTACGTTCTTATTAGGTGCGACAGATTTGAAGGCGAAGGCGTAGACTCCATGAAGATGGATGGTTAAGGATCTGGCGACACTATCCATCTTGTGGGCAGTCTCTCTTTCAGATTAGTTCACCATTTAATTGTTTGTTTCTTTTATTCTGTCCAGGAAATGGTGTCCACAGCTTGGGATTCTCTCGAGGGATTTTGCAAACAGAGAACTTATAGTCCTTTCGGTAATATAAGAAAACTTCTTAATTTTACTTACAGACTCTGAGCTCGCTGACGCCTAATTCAGTTCTGTAAGATTGATGTATAGGGAATTGGTATAGAACAGAGAAGGAAGGTTCAGCTATTGATAGTTGGACGAATTACAGCTGAATTTCCTTCGAAAATCACAACGGAAGACCTAAAGTCTTCGAAGTGTCATTTCACATCCAGCATACTGCGTAGGATTTATTTTGTTTTTAGAGCAAAAGCGCTTTATTTTTATGTTATAAACACGTCATAGAATTACAGAAAATACCGTACATTAGAAGTACAACATAGATGTAACCATTCATTAGACTAAAGAATGCTCAGAGTAGGGCAATTTAAACCGGTTTTCTGCAAAATAAATTAGGTCGAATCTAATAATGATAATGTACTTTATTATTGCAACCATAACAATTATAACATTGGTCTTATAAATAACATTTAATGCTTACTTGTATTTCCTTATTGAGATTCATTGACACTGAGTGGCTGATCCGACGGAAGGAGAGTTCCCCTTTTGGCTCACACCTTAAAGAGTATTTCATGTCGAGCGAGAGATTAACGTCTATTCACAAAATAATGCCTTGAGCAGAGACAAACTTGGAGCCCTTTTATTATGTCTACAGACGTTTCAGGTCCTCAGAAAACTCAGAACGCTGTTTTCACAATTTCATCTACTAAAAAAAATAACTCAAGAACCCGCTACAAAACCGTAAGCGTAACGCTGTATTTAAGATATTTTAAATTGCAAGACAGCCAAACAAGTATATTGTTTATTACGTTCATTCAGTATTCTTTTTCGTGGTTCATCGGGAAGCCATTGAACCTGAATATTAGTATTAAACTTATATTTAAATCTAAATATCTCTCAACAAGCAATTGAGTAAAATCTATCGAAATAGGTTGTAATTTTTCAGCGAAACTTAGGTTCAACTTAGTCCGCTGTAAGTCGGTTACCATTTTCTAAGCTTATTTCCTCTGATTTGATTTGTTCACAGTCGCATTGCACAAAGGTGCAGATTGAAAACCCCTCTATTTCATTAGCCTCAAACTGTCGAGGTTGAGGTACTAGTATGTCGCCATATATACAGATTTGTAGAGAAATGATATGTGGCTTATTTTATGCATCTAAATTGTCATCGGTTGGTTGTTGGGGCCAATCACTGACCTTAGAAAATTTAAAGCAAAAGAAATAATAGATACGACTAGGCACATTCCCATTTCAGGCGCCGTTCGCAAACATTGGAATATGTTTGAGAAATGAACTTTCATGGCGATAGGTATATTTTGTAAGTAAAGTAAAGCTATCCCTGTACCAGGTCGTGAAGGCCGATAGGGTTGTGAGACGGTGAGGGTCCCACATTATCTAGACAATCTGCTCAAAGATGGCGGTAATGTTGTCAGCCTTACGCACCGGCCGCGCTTTACTCCTCAGGAAAATTATTTAATTAATTCCTTGTACTCATTTCTGTTAGAGGCTGAGTGAACCCCAGGACCATAGTGCTGCTGGAAGGATTAGGTCAATTGAAAAAAGTCCAATGACCTCATCGGGACTTGAACCCGCGATCAACCAACTACGCTACCGCGTGCTACAGTATAAAAAGTTTTACGTATACTGTGCCCAAGTCAAAAAATATCCCAAGAATCCTCTTCTCTTGCAGCTTTGTTCTCTAATAATCTCTGATGCTTACTCCTGCTGAATGCCCCACCCGTATCATACCGCATGGATGTCATGACAGACGATAACCTAGCCGACATTAGGACCGAGTACTTCCTGGATTCGTGTCCAAAGAGTGTTCTCTTTGAAGAAAGCAGTCTTCTGGGATTTGGCACCGTGTATATGTGGTGTTAACCAGTCACCAGTCTGTTTTTACCGGTTCTCACGGTCTCTTCGCTTGCAGATTTCTTATATTTTTTCTTCTACCCTGAAGATGGAGGCGATACGTTCCTCCGAAACGTCGGTTAACACCACATATACACNCAGAAGAGGTTGGTCTAATTGTAACATTTTATACTGACATTCGGGAGGTACTTGGCTCGAATCCCAGTCGGGACACCGACTCTCTTGGAGGATCTTCGTAGTTGTCCTCAGTCGCTCCACACAAATGCTGGGATAGTACTTAATTTCCTAGTCATTTACAATTCTTCATTCATCAATCGTCTCTCCGTCCAACACTGCATGACAGGTCTGTCAAATAACAAACTAAAAGTAGCGATACTGAACTTGAGAAAATTTAGGAAACGGTCGTGGCCTATGTCAAGGCACCATACTGGCATTTGCCTGAAGAGAATGAAGAAGATTACGAAATTTTCAGGCAGGAAAGTAGGTTTCTCGGCCCGAAATTTGAACGGGGTATCTGCTAACCCAAGTCAGCAGCTTTACCATCTGAGCCAGCTTGCTCGGAGTTGCCTTTCTCCTGCGCGTAGGAGGAGCCGGTCACACTGCCAGTATATGTAAATTGCAGGTCGCACCGACGGAGCCACCTGCTCGATATAGTAACTTTCTAAGGAAAGTAAGGAGCCGAACTTAGAAAGTTAGGTTCTGTCTCCTGGTAAACTCGATTTTCTTCTTTGTTGGCACGATGCGTGGTCTCCCACTTTGAAGCTAAAGGTAAAATAATAAAATAATAATTAAGATAT